ATTTAAATCTGAAAGATAAATATCTTGCATTCTGACAACTGGCAACAGACTTGAATGAAAAGCGAAACAATGCCCTTACAGTGGACAACATTTAATGTGAATCAAAGCAAACTTGTAACTTAAGATTAATAACCCTTCTGAACTCTTAGTTTCTGAGAGTAAAGCATCTTTTGACAACATTTAATGTCAGTCGGAGCAAAATTGTACCTCACAACTAATAAAATTTTTGAACACTGGTTTCTGACAATAAAGCATGTTTTTGACAGCATTTAATGTGAATCAAAGCAAAATTTCACCTCAAGATTAACAACCCTTCCGAACTCTAGTTTCTGATAGTAAACTATATTTTTGACAAAATTTAATGTGAATCAGAGCAAAATTGTACCTCAAGACTCCAAACTATAGTTTCTGACAGTAAAGCATTTTGTTTGACAACATTTAACATGAATCAAAGCAAAATTGCACCTCAAGGCTAATAACCCTTCTGAACTCTAGTTTCTGACAGTAAAGTATTTTCTTAGCTAATAATAAGTATTTTATAAAAGATTTAAAATTTTGCCTCTCCACATTACATTATTATGGAATTTCTTTTTGTTTTGTTTTAGAATGCTGTAATTTATGTCAGAAATTAAATTACATATATATTAAAAAGTTCAAAATAGCATACTTCATTTATTAACAAATCAAAACATGAAAACTAATTTGGATTAAACCTGGTTAAACATTAACAGTTGTACGAATGTCGAGTCAAAATAAATATAAACATGTCTCTCCCGCAAGGAAATGCATATCTCAAAATTTATAACTAGTTATCCATTTGCTTTATTTTGAATGAATTTTCTGTGTACATTCAAATATGAAGTCTGCTGTCTACAAACTATGAATTTCGTAACTTTTTAATGTTTTATAGTAAAAGGTTTATTGGTTGGTAGGAAAACTGATGGGAAAATACGCCTGATTCAATTTCAAAGATGTTCTGAACACAAGAAGTAGAATGTAGTTTCTATAGAACATAAGAAGACAAGATATTTTCCTAGATGGCTTTCAAGTAATTTTGATGCATAAGCTGTTGGGAGAAAGGGAGACGACATTTGGTATTTTTTTTTGATGCATTAAAACGTATTGTTGCAGGAATAAGACACAGGTAATTACAATGGTTTGATGAGGGTTGTTTGAAGCGTTTGGCACATAAATCTATATCAGTGAGCTTGGTATCAAGTGCATAATTTCTTAAATCTGCAGATCAGCAATTACACCAATTGAGTTTTCATACAAAAAAGATACGTGGTTACTGCACACACTATTACAGAGAGCAACAGGGATGGGATGACCGAGATGCAAAACATATTGAAAAAAACTGAAAAACTTTTAAAATTTAAAGATTGAAGATTAAGTATAATTATTTAAAACCCTAACACATACTTCATTACACATATATATAAACTATATGTCTTTTGCTTCAATAAAAGGCATTACTGTGCATTTAAAAATGTAAAAAACAACAACTGTCTATTTAATTATAAAGGTTTTCAGTATTCGTACTGACATGAAATTCTAGAAAACTATTTTTATACATGGAAATAAGATTCCCTCCCAAAATTTAAATAGTTGTATATGAAAACAGAGAAACCTGAAATAAAATTTGTGAGCATTACCATTCTGGCTACTGCTGCAATGAATGCTGTTATTTGCTTTAAATGGGGCATGTATTCTCTTCCCTGATATATTCATTTTTTTTTTTTTCATTCTCTAGTGTTTTTCAATTAGTTAGCAAAAACATTTTTTCTTATCAAAATTTTGTATATAAGATATGGAAAAAGTATCATAAACTATAAGTTTTGTATTTGGAAATAAGTGACACTTTGCAAAATAAGTAAATTAAGAATCTGAAAGGTAGAACCTAAGAATTCAAAATCTGATGAAAAAGATTTCAATCCAAAATAAGAACTAAAAAGATGATCAAATAATGGTAAAATGTTAGGACAAATTTAATATGAGCCAGAAATGTTTTAACACTTTAAGTGGCAAGGCATTACATATACAGCCTAGAATATTTTTTGTGATATCTGTAAGAACGTATATATACGTGCATATTAAAATATGTCAAAGAAAAAGGCAATATATCAAAAGTACACAAATCCAGGTATGAAATACCAGCAGAGTTTTTACATTATAATACAAAAAAATGATTTGTTCTCATAGTAGCTTGGGGAAAATTGCGCTTTCTTAGCGAAAACCTTGGCCGCTCAGATTCGTTAATTCTTAAAAATATATGATTTCTAAGCATCAAAACTGTTTTCTTAATTATTTTCAAAATGCTGTTTTTCAACTTTTGGTATATTTTGTGAAAACATTTTGATCTGTACACACATGTAATTTTATTATAGCATAAAATCTGTGTTTGTGATCCAGTAAATTTACTTGTTTATTCTTCAGTATATATAATACTTTTTATACATCGTGAATTAGGATTTAGAAATACATAAATTAATAATGAAGTTAGCTTATAATTTAAAACATTTTTTTTAGTGGTAATAATAAAAAGTAAAGTAGCTTCACTAAATTAAGGAATGTATTTTCTGTACTCTGGCATAATTTCAAAGGAAGGATTTTGACAGATTTTTGAGAAATGCATACCTATGTAGGTACATGCTTAAAAATTCTGCTCGGGGAAAAAATATTCATATTTACAGTGATACTATAAAATATTTGTAAGTGAAAAGTATTTATTTCATTGTAAAATGTGTATAATGATCTTTTTAAATTGTATAAAAATTTCATAATGACAGATGCATATTTAAAGATATAGTCATTTAAAATACAGCCCAAATTTACATTTTTTCACTGTCTCTTACGATCCTTAAAGATTTGGTAGTTTTAACTGGATACCAATGATGGAAAGAACAGCTTTCTTCATGGTCTCTCAAAAGAAATATAAAATTAAGATTATTTTCAGTAGTAATGCTTATAGAATATCTTCCTATGAAAATTGTACAGCACTTGCCCACACTTCACATGTCCAGCTGAAAAGATCATAAAGAATTATTCTATAACAAGCTCCTGCTGCACAGGAGGGAAGGCTATAATTTACATCATTTAAAGTGGGCAGACTTCATCTAGTATAATCACACAAAAGTCTCAGTCTGATCAACATAAATAGGAAACATGTTCATCTAAGCAACAATCAGCCATTATGTGGCCATCTGATTCATCAGATTTTGTACACCATGGAGTTCGTGTTTTCTAATATTGAATGTGCATAATTTGTTTTGGCTAGTTCAGTAGGCTTTTAAGAAATTCATCACAACAAAGCATTGAAGGATTACTCAAGTTCATTCATAAAGAAATTTATAAGGGGAATCTGGCTAACATTTATGTTGCACATGACTGCTTCAGATGTAAGGAAAAAAATTATAGCATATTTATTCCACTGCTCTAAGTCAGACTGAGGATGCAACCACCTGCGTTTTGAACTTTCCCTCATATGAGCTCTCACAAGCTAATTTCCTTTTCGGATAACATTCATTGATGAAAAGGAACGGAAGCTCCCATTCACAAAGTTATTTGCAAAAGTCTAAGAATTCTATTTAAAAAGATATTTACCAATTTCATACAAATCATGGAATGCTGCAATCTAAAGCAATGAAACTTATATTTCACTAGATAAAACAACACGCTTTATTAGCATTCTGTAAGTTTCATGTTAATTATTTCTACTACGTTTTTTATAAACTTAATAAAAATACTTTGCAAAAAATATTTCTTCAAGTTCAATGAAATTATATTCACTATTACTATTATAATGTATAGAATGGCCAATGCCAAGAGACTCACAAAAAATAATCTGGGATCATTGACTTAAAAGACGTGTAACCAACTGACCAAAGACATGTAATAAAATGATTAAATGGCTATATTCCGTAAAAAGAAATATAAATAGTATTCTGTTATAAATATTTCAGAAAAAAAAACTTAGCTATTGCATTATGTTATATATCAATATTGTTAACTGACGTTATGTTACTTATGTTTCCAAAAGCAATTTAAGTTTAATTCTGTATTATTAATTATATGTAGAAAAACTTTTTACTTTAAAGAGACTAAATTTCCATATATGTTAAACAATGTATTGATGCACAGGATAAATGAATGTTACATTCTGTCAATATAATCAAAAATATTTTATAAAATACATGAATTGCAAATAAATCTCCATAAGAATACAATATTTTATTTTCCAATTGATTTTTACAACTCATAAAAAAATTATAAAAAAAGAACAATAACAGCTGAAAGTTTAAGATGCTATATTGAAAAATTTCCTTGTATAACTCAGCAGAAAATTTGATAGCTTTTGCAAAAAAAAAAAAAAGAAATATAAATATAAAATTATATTTCTTTTTAAATAAGAAAACATAAATTTTATTACTATTGCCAATATTTTTTTTTATTTTTTATTTTTACTAATTTTTTTATGGGAAAAACACAGTATAATTATAATAAAATGAAAAGAGTTTAATGTTAATGTATTTCAATTTGACATTTTCAAGTGCTTCATTTGATAGCACAATAAAAGTGAAAATTAATATTTCATCTTTATATACAAAACTGTTGAAACCTGATACTGTAGGTGATGGCATGCATATATGTAGATAAATGTCTGTTCAATTAACTTTAAGAAACAATACATTGACTGAGTATAGAAAGAATCTTCATGCAAGCCTACTTTCAGCACCATTGTTTTGCAAACAAACACATCCAAAATATTTGGTAAAGAACTATCTTAAAAAAAAAAAAAAAAAAAAAAAAAAAAAAAAAAGACATAACCATTTGAACAATTTCTTATCATTAGCACTTTAGTTTCAAGCCTCATGAAATAAGACTAACAAACTGAAAATGTAGAGAAAACTAAGTTACATAATTAGTTTTCACACTGTATAAGCAAACCAACTGAAATATTGGTTGTTTATTGGTTGTTTATGAAAGAAATATTCTATCCATTTGTTCAAGTTAAGTTTTATTGTCATTATAATGTTACACAAAGTCATTTTATATCATAAAAATCAGTTTACCTCAGATATCAGTTTGTATATACAAAACATAAAGCATAAAATTATTTAAACCATATTCTTTCCATTTCTGCTAATGTTATATCAACTTAATATACAAAATTATCATGATAGGCTAAGCAGTTAAGAAAAGAAGTATTCATATCGAAAACAGAATGATTGTAAGGAACTTGTAAGAAACAATCTGATTCCATTGAATTCTCTCTCACTACGAAACTACTTCATGATAATAAATAACATTGTTTACATATTTAGAGTAGAAGCATGGTTTAAACTTTGACCATCATACAGCAGTAAACAAGTCTGTAATTTTAAAATTTAAGATACCTTCATCTTAAATATAACAAAGTACAAATATATTTAAAGTCTATATAATCTCACTGTATTGCACTGAAAAATACAGCTGAACAACATCTCAAACTTACACACATGAAATCATATAACCACATTAACACAAACACTAATGTACCAAGTGCAATATACAAGTGCAGTGTAGAATTGAGTTCAGTACCAAAAATAATATATTTTAATAATTCATATTTTTAAAAATCCTTTCACTATTAAAAATTAAAATTGAATATAACCTAATATTTTTAATGAATAAATCATAATTTAATAATGCATAATATTGAAAATAACATACTGAAATTAGCAGATATGACTTTTTGACTTGTGCATGTCTTAATATTATGGCCATTTTAGAATTCTTTTATAGATACACATTCACAAGTATGGTGGCCAAAAAGAAACCACTCAGGAGGAAAGGAAGATTTTACACAAAAAATTCTTATAATAATAATAATTAAAAAAGAATTTCTTTTGGCAATAGAGGAAAGAAAAAAGTAAGAGTTCTAGAGTAAATAAGCTATCTGAATGTCTTTTAAAAACAAAATATTACCTTTAAAGTCATTTTAAACATATAATTCTGGATTTTTTTAAAAAACTTTTTGCATTCCTGGCAAAAGATTCTGTAATCATTATTAAAAGAAAAAAGTCAAATACTGAGACATGTATAAAAGAACTATTACCAACTATTTATTAATTAATATGTTTTATTAAATAAGTAAGTAATTGTACATGACATATTTAAAATCTAAATTAGTCTTACTTTTTAATTGCATTAATTCAGTTTTTAAACTAATGGGTACGAAATGCTTAACATAAAAATTTAATGCCTGAAAGCAGCTTATTTACAATTCTATTATATTGAAAATTATTCCTAACATTTAAGCAATATTTCTATCGATTTAAAATTCATCATCAGAAAAAATTTGTTAATTTTCAACATCTTTACAATCTAATAATAATAATAATAATAATATAAAAAAAAAAAAAAAAAAAAAAAAGGGGGGGGGAGAGAGAGAGAGAGAAACCTGTTAACATTTTCTCATAACATAATTGGATTGCTTTATTTCTTTATATTGAATAATTTTGGAAAATTAAGAATGGCACTGAACTCTCTAGAAACATTTACAATGGAGCCAATGAAATATTTCAAAACTGAGAAAGTCTACAAAAGTCTACAAGTCCAGTACATAATTATCAAGCCTATAAACTTTTTATACAGGTCTGGAGAGATTTACAAAGATTTTCAAGGTTTGTGGAAGTGGCAGCTGCTGTATCTTCTGCTTCATAAAATAGGTGTATGTAAATGTATCACTATTTTCATTAGAATCTTCTTTATTTTTCACTGAAAAGCAATCTTTTCCTGAATCACTATCAAGATCATCAAATTCATCACTGTCTGCATCACTGAAGGCAACCCGTTTAAATATTACTGCTGTATTTTTGTAGTTTGCAAATTTTCGATCTTCACCCCCATTAGTTCGCGGATCTAAAGCACCATCATCGTCGTCATTTTCTTCGGCACTTCGTTTTAGATATGCCGAATTTCTAGTCATACTTTCCACTGAACTTTGTGAGCTTGATGGATTGGATGATGCTCCATATTTCTCACTGTCTGTGGGACCCTCCTCGAGAAAAGAGTCATCACTTATGTTATCAATTCCACTGTCACCATTGCCTGGTTGGCTTAGTTTTCTCTTGCCATTTTTTGGAGTACTGTTCTCACACTGATCCTTTTTATCATCATCTTCAGTTGTGATTTGAGATTCAGGGTCTTCACTGTCAATTGTAACTTCCATCTTTTGCACAGATTGTCCAGACCTTGGATTATTAATGTTTAACACAATTTTTGTATCTGGAGAAATTCTAGTGTAACCATGTCGTCTACTGCTGGTGTCTGCTTGACTATCCCGTCCACTGTCACTAGCTTCTGCTTGGCTATCTCGTCGATTTTCTACATCTGAGTGACTGCCTCGTCTGCTGTCATCAGCATCAGACTGACTACCTCTTCTACTATCAAAATTTTGTCTTCGCCGATCCTCAAAAATGGGTATCACAATCCTTTTCATTCGTCTTCTGCCTCTCTTGCGTTTAGGATGATGAGGTTTCTTTCGTTCTTTCAAAGAAGGATTTTCGATTTCCACATTTCTTCGTAAAAGTATTCTCACAGTTGAGCGGCAAAGCTCTTGCAAACTTAATGGACACATTTCAGCTAACAGAATATAATTCAAGACAGAAAGTTAATAAAATTAATTGTTAAAAGGTAAAAAATACTGCAAAAATATATGGAAAAATTACTTTTTCTTTTCCTTCCTCATTTAATTTTATGAACTTCAGTTAAAAAAACAAATCAAGTTTTAACTGCACAACAAAGCACGGAAAATGAAACTTTTATTCCTGCAATTTGAAATACTGTATACTCCTGAATATGAGCTAAGCATCTGATTTATTTTTCCTCAAAAATTTACCCAAAATTAAAAACCCTTACATATACCAAAATGGGAGGAGGGAACTTGTAATATTCAAACATGTCGGCATGAGGATAAAAATGTTGCCAAGCAGGTAAAATGAGTGGAATATTTTCGAATCAGATCACTTTAAAATAAAATGCCAGACATCAATAACGATTGTTCAAACTCTGGTAACCCTATATGAAGCTAGCTCGTTTATTGTCTTGTATACAATCTGTGGTGTCTCTGCTGTAAAGTCTTATTTTCAGTGCAAATTTGTGTTTTGTCTGAAAAATGAGCGAGAAGACAAATTCTTACTAGGCGAATTTCAAAATACAGATGATTGTGTTTGCTAAAAATTCTAACAACATTGTATCTGTTCGGCATTTCTACGTAAGTGAAAAAGTAAGTTTCAGAATAGAATGGATGCAAATTTTGCCAATAGATCATTCATTTTAGCAATGATGCAACAAATCAGCATTTAGAAACAATTTTAAAAACACAACTAATTTTCATAAAACAATTACCTCTTTTCACTTTTTTCATAAATTTAAAAAATACGAGCAAAAGAAATAAAAAAAGCATGATATTTAGCAATTTATCACTCCTGCTTAGTTAATGGAAAAAATACCTACATTTCTGCAAGATTAATGGAAATACATATGTCATCCCCATAATTCAGTTTCAGAAAATTTCCCAAAGTTCTTGGCTTATACACAGAAATATACAGTACTTTTATACTTAATTTTTATTTTAAGACATTTTATCAACAAACTATTTTTTATCAAAGAATTTTGAGAACAGGATTTCACAGAGTGCTAAAATTAAACTAAATAAAGAGTGTGAAATTTTAAGAGTGCTAATCAGTGACATTTAATTTACTTTTTCTATTGTGTTAGTTTTTAAAGTTCAACAAATCTCACAGAAAATTTGTATAGTAGAAAACAATATGTGAATCTAATCATTTAGCAATATATTGATCTTCAGAAGAAAGTAAAGATGAATTACACATCTGTGTGCACCTCAAATTTAATAATTATTAAAAAAAAATTTTTTTTAGACCAAACAGAGATCTCCGAGTTTCATCTGTATATAGCATTTCTACAAGACTGTGTACTATTCTAAGTTAGAATTCTGGATAATTCTAATGTATTCATTACATCTGTTAGTTGCTGATGCAACTTAATACTTTGGTAGAATGTTATAATGCAGATAAATTAATACAGATGCAAGTATAGGTACTAATTTTAGAGGAATTTTTTCCACATTTTTAGTGACATTTTTCTTTCTTACAGAGAAGAGTGCATATGTTGTTTTAATTTTCCTTTAGATTATGAAGACTTTACTGTTACACCAAAATGAGCAGGAACTGTGCAATAAGATTTAATGACAATTAATTTATACACATAAAGACATGTACATTCTGGATATCAAGTAAGTTTTTTAATGGAAATTAATACCTTTACCTTTTAAAACAAGACACCATGCACTACAGAAATACTTATTCATCACTTAATTTTTATACACTTAAATTTTTACATCAGAATATACAAATAAATACTTCTTTGGTTTTAGTGCCATTAAAATATAGACTGAAATTTTTATTTATTACAAACTAATGTTAAGTATAAAATGCTTATAAAAAACATAAACCTAAGCAAAGTTTTAACTTTATGACCTTTCACTGTAGAATTTTAAAGTGATTTCTGACAGAGATGCAGAAATGAATTTCTAAAATTTCAAGAAATGACATTTAAAAGATTTAGTCTAAAGAAGGTAGAGGATTAGACACTGAAATTCAATGTACTGAAATAACTGAAACATGCACTGCTGGCTTAATCAAAAAGCATCTTTCATATGTTTATTCTGTTTACTATTCTAAGGCAACTAAAAGATGATTTAATGCAACAAAAAGTAACTAACCAAAAACTTAGGTAAAATATGATTTCCCTCTTACTTCCAAAATTGTTTCAACTGGCAAGTGATCAAATTAAACATTTTTGGTAATTTTGTTTTCAAAACAATGGGTGGTTCTTGGGACCCATAAAAATTATAAAAGTATTGTTTCTCATGACTCTTAAGCATTGTAAACTAGAAAAGGAATGATCCTTTTTTTAAATTTTTCTCAAGGTTAGACCTTCTAATGATGTAAGATTTGTGTTTTGCTTTAATTTCAGACTTTATCATTTGGGGCAAATTCAATTTTATACAACATTTTTGCTAATCCGTTGAAATTACGTCGAAACTGAGATAGATATTGTCCCAGGTTTATATCAAAATTTGAAAACTGTTTCAGAGAAAAGAAATCATAATTTTCATTAATGAGAACTGTCTAAACTGTCTGAAATTGCAATTTTTTTAACACTATCTACTTGTATAACAAACTGCATAAAACAATTATTACAGAAAAGGAAAAATTTGCAACGATTTGTAATGATCTTGCTGGTGTAATTTGTTGGATCCAGTTAGCAATTAATAATAAGAGAAATGAAGAACCATATTATTGCTTTTAAACCAGTTTGTTATTACCACTTCTTCACATTTCTTTAATAATTTCATTAATCAGAAAATTTTGTTTTCTGTTTGCAATATTCGAACATCTTGAAATTTGCAACTACCATAAGAAGGCTTAGTTAGCACCCACTACACATTACTGGTGCCCAAAGACATGTTGTTCCATTAAATTTTGCCTAGCTTCTATCACATACTGCCAGAATTAAGCCTGAATTATAACTGCATTTATTTCACACATTTATTATACTTATGCCTTTCTCTGCCCAAGCCAGCTTAAGACTTATTTTATAAGGTATTTCTCCTACCCTCTTAGCGTGCCTTAGTAGGGTAGTGGTCTGCATGCTGGGCGTGTATTTCAGAGGTCCATGGTTTGATTCCCGGTGAAGGCGTTGCTCATTTTTCATCTTGCTTGCTTCCAAAAAATACCTAATGTCTCTACAGTGGCGTGCCAAAACTAAAAAGGGTGGTGGATGATTCTCCACACCCAGGATTTGGTGATTGGGTTCCCTAATCCCCAGTCGCCCTTTAAAAGGAGGAGTATATAAGGTATTTCTCCCGCCTTTCTAGCATGCCTTCGTGGTGTGGTGGTCTGCACACTGCATGTATATTCCAGAGGGCCGTGGTTTGATTCCCGGCGAAGGCATTGCTCATTTTTCATGACTTCTGCTTCCAAAAGACACTTATGTCTCTAGAATTTCACTCCTAAATAAATAAATTTCCACATATACTTGAGGCCGGTGGTAGACATTTTGTGGCCCTGTCATATCTCTACAGTCTGAAATTATGTTGTCAAGCATCTTGCGAATTTCTAAACTGCATTTATTTCACACATTTATTATACTTATGCCTTTCTCTGCCCAAGCCAGCTTAAGACTTATTTTATAAGGTATTTCTCCTACCCTCTTAGCGTGCCTTCGAGGGTAGTGGTCTGCATGCTGGGCGTGTATTTCAGAGGTCCGTGGTTTGATTCCCGGTGAAGGCGTTGCTCATTTTTCATCTTGCCTGCTTCCAAAAAATACCTAATGTCTCTACAGTGGCGTGCCAAAACTAAAAAGGGTGGTGGATGATGATTCTCCACACCCAGGATTTGGTGATTGGGTTCCCTAATCCCCAGTCGCCCTTTAAAAGGAGGAGTATATAAGGTATTTCTCCCGCCTTTCTAGCATGCCTTCGTGGTGTGGTGGTATGCACACTGCATGTATATTCCAGAGGGCTGTGGTTCGATTTCCGGCGAAGGCATTGCTCATTTTTCATGACTTCTGCTTCCAAAAAACACCTAATGTCTCTAGAATTTCACTCCTAAATAAATAAATTTCCACATATACTTGAGGCCAGTGGCAGACATTTTGTTTCCCTGTCATATCTCTACAGTCTGAAATTATGTTGCCAAGCATCTTCCTAATTTCTAAACATTTTCCCACCACCAAATTTTGCCTCCCAGTGTCTTCCCTAAATTATAAATATCCATTCCATTGCTCGGTTCTCTAAATTTTACAAATTTTGCCTTCCTTAAATTCCGCTGCACGATATGATTGCACCAGCTTTGGCATTGCTCCCGGGCTTATCTGTATAACAAATCAGTTATTCTCAATTCAGACAGCACTAAATGTAATCTTCTGGCCTAAATCTTTCACCCCCCCCCCATATATAGAGGAATTTCAGTTAAATTTCTCCTAATCAACACACTCGACACTTCACAGCAGAGTTACCTGAAGTCTGTAATTCTCCCAATACATAATATCAGCATAATAGTTTACCATGCTCTTTGATATTCAATTACTAATACTAAAAAAGTGCTTATACATTGCAGCGTAAGTTTTAGCTGTAGTGCATTGATAATCATGCAGTGATGAAAGCAAAAAAACAATATATCATGATTTGCCAGGTTGCAGTCAAAGTAAAATTAAGAATCATGACTGCCCGGGTGTTTTATTATGGAAAAATATGAAAAGTGCAAGCAGAAAACACGAAAACGAATTTCTTAAAAAAAAAAAGGGGGGGGGGTTGTTAGTAATCCAGAGGTTCAGATATTAGATCATTCTGCATGTCGAATGTTGATTTTGGGACTTTGTACTGTAATAAAAAAACTTGATGGTACTTTCTGATTATTCACATCCCCATCCCAAAAGTTGCAAACTGGTTGCCACTAAATTTTCGCCAAGCAAATGCACAGAAGGCAGCAGCCATTTTCAAAATCACAGTGCACCTAGAATACCATAGAAGAGTGGTTAATGAAAAAAATTTAAAAAGCAAGAAACTTTGGAACTAAAGCACTTATGTTTAAGAAATATTTCTCTTTTGATAATTTTTCTTTCTCTTTGTTGCTCTCTATGTACATAGCAATCAGTTTTCAGTTTAAAAAAAAAAAAAAAAAATCTGAGAACTCCGCACAAACTTGGCACTGAACAACTCTGGCATTGTGCACTGGCAAAAACAGACATGTTACGCACATTCCTGAGTTGCCACACATACACATTTTGGAGAGAATTTTACCAACATACTGCTTTGCAACATTATTATTATTATTATTATTATATATTTGGTTGGAAGATATTGGATAATCAGAGAGAACCTTTTGATAGTATTCTATTAAACAAGGAAAATATAATTATGTACTTTATCAAAAGTACAGAAGATAGTTTGAAATTGTTCCCAAATTGATAAAATTTGCATAAATTTAATTGGATTTTAATAAATATTAAAATAAATGTAAGAAAACTTACGGAGTTTTACAGACGTAAGAGCTTCGTTGGGTTTCGGTAAAACAAGTGAGGCAAAAGAAACAGGAAGGAGATTTTTTACTTCATAACTAGTTTCACCAGTTCTGGTTACTTGCAATAACTATAATGATAATTACAAAATTTTAAAAAAAATATGTAAGCAAAGAAGTTATTTAAAAATATTTTAATGACAAAAGAAATGGTTAAAAAACTATGTGGTACGCCATCTGCTACTGACATGATGATGATTAAAAATATTTTTCAAGAAGATACCACAGGTTTATGAAGGGCAGCACCTATTTTGCTATTCCATCATTAAAATAAGGAATTCACAACCACATTTTTTACAAGAGTAGCTCCTTCAGTTATCACTTAGATACATTATGTATTAAAAAAAATCTAACTTAGAAACAAATTAGTTTTAAATATTTTTTCACAAGGCTACTTTTCTAAATAATTTTTAATTTTACATTAGCATATTTTTTTTCCATTAAATGAAATGAGTTGGTTAATAATTTTCAATCAGAATATTCACAAAAGAGAAAATTTAGAATAATTTTATAAAAAAAATTCAGAGTTTAGAATCATGAAGACAGGTATCTCTGAGGGTGGCTGCTTGATACTTTTACAGAGAAGCAGAGTAACACACATTTAGGAAGAAAAATATATTCCCATGATGAAAATCCTCGTACATTTTCAAAGGTGGCTAGTTTTTTTTTTTTTTTTTTTTTTTTTTTTTTTAAGAATGCAAATAATCCACCAATTCACTCTTAAGAGTTATTTTGTAAATTTACATCAAATATTATCAAATTCTAAACTTAAATTTCTTGCAAACGACAAACATAAGTAGTTTTCCCAAAATACTGTTGTAAGATTGACAATGGAATTTAATAATCTTTTTTATGGATTTTAGCAACGGTTGCTGTCTAGGGTTAATATACAAAAAAATAAACAACTTGGAATATGCTATATATGTTAACAATACATCCTACATGATAACCACTTTAAGCTTAATGTTCTTTCCATAATTATCAGATTAGGATTCCCCTTTATGAGAATGATTTTCTCGGTTGGTTCTGGCCTTTAGTTCCAGAGAAAATTCATTTTTCAAATACATTTTTTGTAATTTAGTTTTAGGACAGCTAGTAATAAGAAATATACACAGATAGGTCTTCTTTTGTGGTGTTGAATCAATAGTTCAATTAAAATTGGTGTTGTTGTATGTTGAATTGATGTGTGTTGAAATCCTATGGTGATTTCATAAAATGAACCCAATATCAGGTAGTTAAAAACAGCCAGATACATTCACCAGTCTAAAAATACATTACTTTGATTTAATTAAATTTATACCATATTTTTACAATTAAAATTAATCCTTTTATATAAACATTTTACATTTAATTTACATCTTTTACATTCTTAATATAAAATAATGAATAGTAATCTAGATATTGTTTATATTTGTACTTGAAAATAAACGGCAGCTTATACAGCATCAGTGAGCTGGTATATTATATTTCAAGATCAAGAACAGCAGTGGTACTAATGGTAAAAAAGGATCTGTTGAAATTTATCCAGACATGAGGATCATTTGGCAATGTGTAAAGAGGGTAATTAAAAGGTTGTATCAGGGTAATTAGAAGATATTGTTGTTTAGGGATATCTGGCTGACTTATTGAAAAAGGAATCATCAAAAAATCATTTTTCTTTTATTAACAATGTGACACTACCAGGCTAAGGTTTTATTGAATTTACCACTAAAATGTCTTTCAATTATTACACTTTTCAATTAGAACATTAGCATGCAGAAAGAAATTTTTATTAATATTTCTCAATTCCTCTGGTTCATCTTAAACCTCTTACATTTTACTCTGCTTCCTTAGATATATGGTTACTTTTTCACTCAAGAAATTAAATATTTTTCATATTATTATTTTTTACTACATTTTTCTCATTTGGGCTTAATTTCTAAACCACTGTATGTCTAAGACTAGGACAGTTTATTTATGCAAGTAGTTTGATAAAATATTACTAGAACAAATACACTTAATTATATAATTTCATTTCTGGTAATGCATTTTATTATTTCTGTTCTTGCATATCCACTGTACATATTATTAGAAAATGAACAACTTAATTTTTTTAGCTACTTTAAGAACATTTTTTGGTTAGAGTAGATTTAAGGGTGCCCCTTGGATTATCGCTAAGTTGTTTTATTTATTGCCAAGTTGTTGTTTCATTTATGGTAACCTGAGTAGTTGAATGCTATAGAAACTCTATTATGACATAATTATTGGTTGCATGATTGCAGTGAATTTGAATGATGGGAAAAGGTTTGGAAAGGCTTGTTTGTTTGTTGGATTTTGAATAAGAAGTATGTTGTTATTGTGTGGTTTACACAGTAAAATGGCTGAATGTGGTAGGATTAATTTGAAGTTTCTGTATGATTTAGAATGAAAGGGAAAAATACATTAACTGACTGGTGTGTAAATGAAGGTTAACTTAGTAGCTAATATAAGTGTCCTGGTTGTAGGAAGGAAATGCATACGGTCAAACGTTGGAGGATACGGGCACTACAAAGGATATTTTTTTTACTCTTATTTTTGTGAGTTTATGTGGGGATGCCAGTATACAGATTCTAGTTCAGATAATTTTAGGAAGTTTTTAGATGCTGTTAATTAATTTTGTTTGACTTGCTAATTCGTAAATAAGGTAAGTGGATATTTCCTTTGTGTAGTGCAAAGATGAATTTCCTTTTTTATGTTATTTCATTGTTTGATTTAAAATGTAGTTTATTGAGATTATATATTTTTCTGTTGGCTTCCTTTGACTTTTTAAGTGAATATAGTTCGATGTGTACATGGACAAAGTCAAGGGAGAGCGCAATGCCTAGTTTGTGCAATTCTCTGATGTTTTTTGAAAGTGAAAATAGGTTGATGTGTACATGTATACTGAGTTTGTGCAATTCTTTGACTTGTTATTTTGGATTTATGTAGCGGCGATTTTTGCACAAAGTAACAAGTCAATGAATTGTACAAACTCTGTGTCCCTGTACCACCAATTATCACAGAGGGGCACCCGTAAATATATTTTTACCTATTTTTTTTGTTAAATACTAAACTGTGCTTAATGACATAAATACAGTGAAAACAAAATAAGGAAATTAAAATAAAATTTTTCTTACATGATCCTTCAAAGGCATGACTAAAATTCCACCAATGCGAACTAAATTTTTCATATAGTTTTCATGCTCCAATGGGCAAGAAGCTCCACAGTAGACTCTATCATACTGTTGTACAGAACTGTCTAGTAGTAAACAGTTTCCTACAACAAAACTTGGAGCACAAAACTCATATTTATCCAGAGCTGGGGATGAGTTTTGAAATTCTTCTAGTTTATTTCTGGCATAAATCACAACATCTCGATGCAATTCCACCCCATGATTGACACCGTATGTCCCTAAAATTAAAATTAATATTTTTTTAAAGGGAAGAAAGCAAGCATATGGGAAAATATTATTTAATATACAAGAACTTGATAACATGACTTTTTCAAAAGCTTTGTAGTAAAGTTTTATAAACTAGTTTAAAGTGACATATTAAAAAAATAAATAAACAAAGCAATTTTCTGCAACTAAGAAATGTAATAGCAAATATTACAATAATAGTAAGGAAAGAGTTGTAAAGACATTAGATATCTTTTAAGCAAGAGATGTTTAAAATGTGCAATGCCTCACTCAAACCTCTCAAATACATGCCGAGTGTGCTCACTACACCCTAAGCCATGCCAAGAAGGCGAGAGAAATACCTTATACCCCTCCTTTTAAAGGGTGACTGGGGACCCAATCGGCAAATCTTGGTGGTGGAGAATCATCATCCACCACCTTTTTCAATTCAAGCGCAACTGTAGAGACATCAGGCATTTTTTGAAGCAGGAGATATGAAAAATGAGCAATGCCCTTGCCAGGACTTGAACCTTGGACATCTCGAATACGTACCGAGTGTGCTGACCACTACACCACGAAGGCATGCTAAGAGGGCGGAAGAAATACCTTATACACTAATTGCTAAGTTTGGTTTAATTTATTGTCTCAGCAATTTCGGCAGAGGATTTAAAGTTCTTCATTGAATGGGACAGGAGTTCAAAATATAGGTAGATTGATGGAACAAGTCTCCAAATCTTAGAAAGCCGAAGAGAAGGAAAAATCAGCAAGGTAAAATCTCAGTCGAAGAGATATTTAAGATACCAGTTTTAAACAAGCATTACATTATTATGTCCTCAGTTTTTTCTTTAAAGAATAAAAATAAATAGAGAAAATGCCTGATTTCCTTTGTCTAAAACTTATCTTAGGCACCCCCAAAATTTCATACACATTTTTTAACAGCAACTCTCCTGGTACATATGAAGCAAACAGAAACAAAATCATAGAATTAAATGAGATGAAAATTTCAAAAGTGTACAGAAATTTTATTAAAATATTTAGATTATCACACCAGATAATTCACACCTGTTTGTGTTTCAAATTAGTTCATATTTGTTAAAAAATTTTTGATACTTCTACAAAAATAAAACTACCCATTCCTAGAGCAAAAATTCTAAATTATACGAAATATAAAGTAAAAAAAAAAAAAGCTACTTATTTTTTTCCCTCATTAACAAAATTATCCAAATATGAAGCTCAATTTCAAGGGCAAAATGAAAAGTTACAGATGGAAATTAAGAACAAATACTAAATGAAAAAGTAAACCTTATTTCAAAACATCATGAACAATTTATATATCATTTAATATCTCAAAAAGACAAATATTTCAGAAAATTAAGTTATTAGGGAAAAATGAGGGAAAGGTCTCGAGAAAATGTAGAATTATGCAGGTTTTCATTGTAAGAGGATAAAACTATATTAATTGATTTATTATTAGCATTATTTTATTTTAAGTTTTGTTTACTCTCCCTTAAAATTTAAAAACCAAATTTTTCAACATCTTAAAATACTTCTAAATGCATTCCATTTTAAAAATATGCAATATTAAATTATACTGTTCTGTTCTTGACAGAAAAAAAAAAAGCTTCTCTATTTTTATTGATATTTCTGATCAACAAAAAAAGATGTGCAGTTATGATATAAATATGTAGCTATTTTTAATAAATCCAAAGTTACAATTTTTTTTTTTTTTTTTTTTTTTTTTAATGAAACGTTAGCACGGAAGACAGACATTTGAACTGCAAAAGAATTTTCTTTAAAAGATATTTACTAGATATACTGGCATTTTGAAACAGCAACTTAAAGATGTTAAGGTATTTTCTGATTATCTCTAAGTCGGCAATTCATTGATGATTTTTAGATAATCAAAGGTTAATGATGGCAAAAAATATTTTTTATAATTTTTTTGCTCGTAGGTATTATTCTATTCATAAATACAAATAAAAAGAATTTTATAAGAAACAAATTTAAAGAGGAAAAGAAAAATTTGTACACCTATATTTAAACTTTTACAGTCAATGGATAATATTCAGCAAAATGACAGTTAAATATAAAGTTGTGTATATATATACCATGTGCATTATACATGTTTGTGCAGGTTGACAATTCTTAAGTGCTAACTCAAAAATATACCAAAAACATGGCAATTCTGCCAAATATTGAAACCACACACGTGAAAAAGCTACAGGAAATAAGTTAATTCACAAAATTTATCAGTCTGATTAGACCGAGACAATCTAGGACATATTTAATATCCTTAAGTTATTTCTCATTTGAAGACATTTTGGAAGGCGAAGGGAGATAAAGTAACATTTTCATATATTTTAATAGAAGGATCAAAATACAGCAAAATCTCTTGTAACAGGCACCCTAACTGGAATACTAATTAACTGGAAATATTAAAATAACACCTTTGAGGATCTAAATTTAAATTCCATATTTATGTCCATAAGATAAAAATACAGTGGGCTAACAATCTGGCAACACTCTCATATGTAAAGCTACATCTTATATCCATGTAACCCCACAATATGACTTTCTTTCCCACATATATCATAATGTGCAAACTTTGATTTCCATGTTTTTCAAGCATGATTCACAAATGTAAGATGTCATGTTTAATTGTTTCTTGCCTGGGAAGATGTTAAGAACATTACGTCACTGTTGGCATAACATGTAGCCCGTGATCATGTTTATAGATAAGAAGTCGAGTGAAAAAGATTCTCTTTCTTTTAAAACACATCTAGTCGCCATAGCTGATTTTAAGATTCAGTTATACGTTTGGAGTGTTAATAAAGAAAAGGTGCAGGCTTGAGTAGATATACACAGTTCTATTCCCAACACACTTCCTCCAGATGACTATGAAATAATCGAACAAATACTGGGGAAAGAAGAAACATGAGGAGGACGAGAGCGAGGATGAAGATGACATGCAGCACATGGAAGGATTGCAGACACTTATAAGATTTGCTGAACAATATTATAACACATGATATTATGAAACTTGTATACATAGTGAATTTTTAAAACTACAGAGACGAGCAGACAGACATTCAAAGTCATATGTCATCAGGATAAGAAATTCTTAATTTTCATGTGATAATAAATATGGCAATTTTAAAATATTGTTTAATTTTTTTATTTTTAGAAAAGTAAGATCGCAGGGCTTCTTTAATTAACCAGTCATTATTACCTAGACCTTTTAAGTCACTTCTTCCTTCCATTTCCATGCCAGAATACAAATTAGCTTGTGTATTTAAGATGAGGTTTTTTAGATTATAAGACAGAGTTCTGCCTCTCGAGGCAATGTTGCTTAGGTTATTGCTAGCTCAGATAAGATTTGTAGTCTTCGGCCATGCATTATAATTACTGATATTAGAATATCTACATCAGTTAGATTTAAAGCCAACTTCATGTTAAATTGATTTATGTAGCCTTCAGCTACTAGTTTACTTGAATTTCAATTTTTACATTCGACTTGAAGTTCCTTTAAGTTATCATAAGTGCTGCTTGAAGCTTGTAAGCACCAAGTGTGCTTTCTGGTCTTCCTTATTTTAAATAAAGAGTCTTCTACCCCCTTCTCAAAACTCAGTTGTTACTTAGTGATAATTTGCAGTCAGTCTGTCTAAAGTTTGGTTACAGTTTGTGATGGCCAAGAGAAGTACAAAACTTTATAAATGATTAATATACATACTTGTTTTAATCAAAAATAATAAGTATAATTTTTCATATTATTTATTTAATTGTGGGTCAGAGACTGAAAAACATGACCAAGGGACTTTGCAAGCTTCAGTTTTTACAGATGGCATTACAAAATATGAACTGTAAATTCTAGAAATATATAAACATTTATCCAGAAAAATCTTTTATCCAGAATCAACAAGGTGCCGTTAGTGCTAGTTCCGAGAGATTCTTTTCTTTTACTATGAAATACAAAATTCTTATATTAATACACTTGCCTGCTTATAAATCACAATTTATATAAATAGATGGTGAAAAGTGAATCAAATTAATTAATTTGAGGCTAAGAAATTAAAAATAATGCAAAAGCTTTTTTGATAAACAGAATTTGCCAATAATAAATAAGAAGACAAAAAAATTAACATTGTTTTCTCTATAAATCTCCTTTTAATTTTAATAAATGGAAAACAGTTCTTTTACACTTGTATTATGTGAAGAATATGTAACTTTCATAATGATACTATCTTTAAAAAAAAATCAACTGTGACACCAAACTGGGATGTGATTTATAATAACTATAATAAACTGGGATGTGATTTATAAGCAGGCAAGTTAGTGGTAGCGATGCTGACTGCCATATCAAATGGCCCACATTTAGAAGGCATGGATGTTTCTAATTGTATAGTGTCTGTGTGGCATGGAGGCACTTTAAATATGCAGGGAGCCAAACGTCCTCTCAAGAAGTTAGTGTTAGGGGTGACAGACCCTCAGGCTCATCTCTCCCATGGGGCGCTCTCCTTCAAAATTGGGGGGGGGGCAGAACCGAGATGTATGGTGCTCAAGGCTCTTGCCAACAACAGGTACAATCTTGACCCATTGCCACAATGAATTTTGTGGGCTTGCTCTGACGTCAGAGACCTGATTTGATGTTACTGTCGATCAGGTGGGATAAGTAAAAAAAAAAAATTAGTTGCATTTATACATATATTGATTTTTTCTTACAAGTTTTTTATATGTTTGCTGCAGTGCACACTTTTCCTATGATTACTAGTTTCATTCTAGGATATGTGTATATTCCAATTTCCTATTTGTTCAAGATTTCTATTCAATTTCTTTTAGATGTATTAAAAAAGCTCTACAATGGCCTAATATAATGTAACAGCATTACATTCAATTATATAGTCTTGAATATAACTTGAAATATGAAAATAAATTAATGTGTAAAACAAACAAAAATAACACATCACCTAGCAAAAGTCCTGCCATTGTACTGAGATATCCAGTACCACTACCAAGGTTCAAAAAAGACATTCCAGGACCAAGTTTTAAGGATTCCATAACCTCAGAATAAATACAAGGTGCTGAAAGATGAATATGACCATGTTTCCAAGCCATATCTCTATAGGCATTTTCCTTGCAACCTTCCAGATAATAGTTGGCACGATCAACTTCACGGAATATTTTCTCCACTATGGGAGACTTTATATATTCCGCTTCAGCTAACTTATCAATAAGCTCATCATTGTCTTCACCTGCACTCACAGCTCCCCCCATTTCTACCGGATACCACGGAAGAGCTGAAATATAGGTCATATATTTTAATAACAGAAGGTCTCAAAATCATATGAAAATCATAAAAAGACTGAATTTTATTGCACTTGCTTTCAAACATGGGGGGAAAAAATAAAATAAAAAATACAAATAAAGAAGTTCAAAAAATATTTATGTTTTCTGTATCATAATAATTCAATACATTACAAATAAGCAATTTTATATATAAAAACAGCAAGTATGTCATATCTTATATAGAAAATAGAAACATTCTGAATAAGGTATAAAAAATTCACTGGAACTGTATTAAAATTTTTATGTCTAAAACAAGATAGTCAAAGGTAAAAGAGTTACTCATTTCTTCTAAATTAATACCATACCAATTTGAATCTAGGGCACACTTTTTATTCAAAATTTTCTGATAGAAAAATAAGGTGTGACATAAATTAAAAATTAATAATTTGACTTTTTTCTGCCAATCTTCCACTTTCCAATTTGAATAGATTTTATACTAAACATTAAAGCATAGAATTCAATTTTTTTTTTTTTTTTTTTTTGTTTCTCTATTTTAAGCCATGTTTGTTATGAAATAAACGTAATCAAAATATTCTTTGCAATAAAACAATTTATTCCAAAAGTGTTAATTAGTAATTCGCATAATAATTTCGACACTCAAAAGTTTGGCTGAGAATTTTGAAAGACAGATGTTTCTTGTCATTTTTTGTTTAAAAATACATCATTAAGAATTATCATCTGCCTTTCTAAAACACTACTTGTTTTATCTCCCACCTTCTTAGCATGCTTTCATGGTGTGGTGGTCTGCACGCTGGGCCTGTATTCCAGAGGTCCGAGTTTCGATTCTCAGTGAAGGCATTTTCTAATTTTTCATCTTGCCTGCCCCCCCCCAAAATCCAGTATGTCTCTACAGTAGCACCCAAACTAAAAGGGTGGGAGATGATGATTTCTCCCCACCCAGGATTTGGCGACTGGGTGCCCTAAAAACCCCAGTCGCCCTTTAAAAGGGGGAGTATATAAGGTATTTCTCTCACCTCCTTAGCGTGTTGTGGTGATCTGCACGCTGGGCCGGTATTCCAGAGATCCGTGGTTCAATTCCCAGCGAAGGCATTTGCTAATTTTTCATCTTGCCGGCGTCAAAAAAAAAAAAAAAAAAAAAAAATCCTGATATCTCTACAGTTTAGCAAAATATATTAAAAGTTCCACATCTGAAGTCAACAAGGCAATACAAATTACTGACAAGTTCTCTTCGAAATTTAACTATTTGTGTTTTTAAAGATGATACGAGAAATAAAAAAATCCTTGATGCAAAGCATTCAACTGTCACTGATATACCAAAATCATGAAAATTGCAGGGAAATATGGACTACACTCCAAGCTAACATAAAGAAATTGGGAGATTTATCCTATAAAAAATCAAACAAAACCCAAAAATTAGTGATGTAAAACTTGTGGCAAATGTAAAAGAATAGCTTGCAATAAAGTTAGCCAAGAAACTGTTAGAAGAAAATTCTTCCTCAACAAGGAAATGAAAACATGGCTGGCATTTAAAAAATCTATGGTAAACAAAATTTATTATACTGAAATAATGTTACATTTCTAGATGAGTCAAAATTTAATACCTGCAGGGCCTTTAATGAGGAACTGACATGAGGGAAAAAGCCAATGAAAAATTGAATCTGATTATGACAAAGGACAGATGATTTGGGTATGTTTTGCTGCCTCTGGGATGGGAAATTTACTTTTTATAGAAAATAATATGAATCAGTTTAAATACATAAATATTCTTAATGAAAAGCTGACAGCATTTTCAAGAAAATTTGGAATAGAAAATACATTCAAGTTCTATTAGGATAACAATCCTAACAATTCGCTTGAAGTTATTATGCAACTGTTCTGAACTTATCAAATTTCCTCTATAGTCTTCACACTCAAATCCTATCAAACATAAATTGGAGTGAGTTGGAGAAAAGAATTTAAGTAAACATGATATTTATTCAAAAGCTATATTAAAAACAATTCTTATTCAGGATAAAACATTCTTTCTTGAAAAAATTAATTAAATTTATGCGAAGAAGTGCATGAAGATCATAACTTTAGCAAATGAATTGTTAGATGTTTCACTATTTTCAAGTCTTTATTAAAAATAAATTGCTTGTTTAAAGCTTCACAATACTTATGTGGGTTCATTTTCAGAACATTCTGAATAAACTTTTTTTTAAACAAAAAATTTTTTGAATAACTTTTTTAAAAACAACTAAGTTTTAAAAAAGGTTATCAATAGCGTTGGATGTTTAGCAGAAACTATGTTTCAATGTTTAGCAGAAAAATCTATGCAAATTGGAAAGTAGAAAATTGGCAGGAAAAAAAAAATCATTAAATTAATTCATTTTGAATTTACACCATACCCTAATTTTCTATCTTAAAAATTTGAATAAAAAATGTACATCAGTTTTAAATTAGTATGGGATTAATTTAGAAGAAATGAGTAACTCTTTTTACCTTTGACCATCTTGTTTTAGACATAAAAATTTTAATACAGTTATATTGAAATTTTATTTTCTACATACAATATGAAATTAGGAATGTAAACTAGCTCACAAATGATTATATTTTAAGTAATTTTTAAAGCTTTATGAATATGATTATTCTTTCTTTGACTCTCTTAATTTAAGTGAACTGAATTATGTTACAATGTATATTCTTGGTGTTTTAAAAAAAGGTGATCTATAGTATATATGGGGGAGGGGGGATTCATTTTGCTAATATTTGTAAATGATATCTGCAAATAAACTGAATAACATGTGTCTGAAAACAAAGGTGATCCACTGTATTATAAAATCATTTCATTAATTATTTTTTCAGTTTTCCAATTTTAAAATTTTACAGGACTTAAGTCGAGGGCAATTATTTTTCATTATTTTATTTATTATTTATATTTTTTCCAATTCTAAAATTCTATTTTAGCTTAAATTGAAAGTAATATGTTACAGTACAAATTCCGAAATCCGGACTGGTCGGGAATTCAGCGATTCCGGATAATAGATCATCAATTTAAATCTGGTAAGATGGCATGCAGAAATTATACCATTAAAAATATGAAATAAAGAACAATTATGATCTAAAGGGTATCAAAATTTACAAAAAAAACTTTATTTGTTTACTTTATTAAACATTTCTTTCAGTGTAAGTTGTTTAAGATGCTTCCACAAAAATTCAAAAAGTTCCTTTTTTTTTTTTTTTTTTTTTTTTTCCCCCTTGTGTCACATAGAGTGGTATTTCCAATACTATACTCCTCGCATAATTTTGAGACGGATATGTCTTTTCCATTTTTTTGCAGCAATTTCATTCTTGGTTTAATGGACATCGAAACATGGTTTCGCTTTGTAGATCCTTTGGCAACTCTTTTCGACATAATCGAAAGTTCAAGTTAGTTTTTATAAAATTGCCGTAATAATAACAGTCTGCAAAAAATAATAAGCTGGATCAAATTAGAAGATCACGGAGCAGCGTAGTCTGCTACATTAATTGAAATGACTTGTAATCAGTAAAGATAATTTTAGCCTAGCTTAATATAAGGTGACCAGATTTTAACATTGGCAATGCGGGACACCATTGACCAGGGAGAGGGTGATTAAACATTTGGTCTATACAGAGCAACACAAATTTTCATAGAATGAAAAACAGTATTGTAATATATTTTTAAAGTTTCAACAAAAGTACAGTTTACAAATAAATTAAAAGAAATTATATATAGTATTATTTTATTCTTTGGCATATTTCTTGTTTGAGTGAATTTTGTTTAGTAGATTGCTGCTGCTGTTTGAAAGGTCATGACATTTTTCACAAGAATTTGTTAAATTATATTTCACACATAAAATGGCTTTCAAAGTCTCATCACTTAATTGTGATTTTTCTGATGTCTGCACTTTATTTACCGTAGAAAAAAAATGCTGTTACAGCATTAGTTCCTGCGGTATTCCATAGTTTTGAGTGCATTATTGTATGGAACAGGGTTTGTTTCAAAATGATGAAATATTTCTAACTATTTTTTCTCTATTGTGATTTTTGCTGATGTCCAAGATTTAACCTTTTCCTTATCAATATATTTTTTAATAATGATGTCTAATTAAAAAGATCATTTTCAGAAATATTACTATATGGGAAAATTTGAGTAATACGATCGAATGATTTTTGCACATCTGGTCACCTTAGCTTAATAGCATCCATTATACATTATTGGCGACGAAAGCCAAGTTGATTCGCTAAATTTTGTCTTGCTCCTATTGCGTACTGAATTAAGCCTGAACTGTATTAGTTTAGTTATTTACTATAACTATGTTTATTTCTTGCACATACTTCAAACTAAACTGAGTCCTGAATAAATATATTCTCACATATACTTTATCTAGGGCCGGCGCTTAATACGCCTGGTGCAGTTCCTACAGGTCCTAAATTCTGCTACAAAGTGCTTTCCTATATTTTAAATTTTCACCGTGCCTAAACTTTGGATCCCAGTGCTTTCCCTAAATCATAAAAAATTATCATCCCTTAATTTTGCCGCTCGGTGCTTCCCCAAATTCCAAAAATTTCATCTTCCCTAAAATCTGTCATCCGGTGCAGACATATTCTGCCGCCGCTTCTGGGTTTATGGTGAATTACATATCAGTTATTCTTAATTAAAATAACATTAAACGTAATCTTTTGGCCTATGAGTTTCATTACCAAATTCTATTTTTAGCGTATGAAAAGAAATTTTTGTTGAATTTTTCCTGGTCAAAATTTCTTAGAGCATTTAAAAATCTAAAATCATCGTCATGCATAATGTTAGCATAAAAGATTACCATACTCTTGTTATTCAATTACTAATATAAAAAAACAGTTTGGACATCACAGCATGAGTTATTACTGAAGCTGTCACATATTGATAAACATGCAGTGATGAAAGCAAAATATAATAAAATAATGACTCGGCAGGTCGGCATAAGGGATATAAAATAGGTGAATGTTTCGGTTTGAGATGTATGCCAAGTAGATACTCAGCTACAGAATTATTAATCTCACAAATTTATACTTACATGATTGTTTTTCCACAACGAGGTATTTTATTTAATGCCTAAGTGAAATTAAGAATCGGAATTTTTAAGTGAAAATCTCCACGTTTTATTTATGGAAGGAAAAATCAAATGTGCATGCGTAAAGCATTAATAATAATTAAAAAAAAAAAAAAAAAAAGTTTGTGGCTTTGAGGTCCAGATTTTAGATCATTTTGGTTAATGGACGTCTGGATTTTGGACTTTGTACAGTATATATTTGTTTTTTATGCTTTATAACGATGAAGATCTCGTTCCAAAAGAGGGCTTTAATTCACCAGGAGCCTAGCTTTTGAGGCGATACTTAATCTTACGTAAGATTAAGCTCTAGTATTTTATTGTATTACTGAACATTGTATATTGCAACATTTCTTATATTTACTGATTTAGTCATCTTTTTCAGCAATTAGCAAAACTGATATTGATAACAGGTATTAAATGTACATCTAACTATACCTTACTTTAAACAAAAAAATATGAGGGGAAAACTTTAGCATATGGAAAAGATGTCTGAAATGAAATACAGTACATCTGGGAAAAGAAACACTTATGAGCTGAATCATTTGGTATAAAAAGCTTTATATGGAATAGAAACCAAACCAAAGTGGCAATTTTATCTGAGCAGATGCTGCTTAAAATATTCCTAATAAAATTATAGTAAACCTTCTTATCCGTCCTTGACACCACATCTTAAATTTCATTCATTTTATTATTTTACTTATTTTGTATACTGTAATTTAATATATTATTTACTTAACTAAAATTAATTAATTATTCATTTATCTTTTTAAATTATATTTAACTGCACATTATTTACAGTTTTGTTTGTTTGTTTGCTTAGTGTATTCGAACACATATTATGCATGTACTCATACACACATATAATATGCACATATGTGAGCTAGCTGTTGTTACACGTATACTAAAAAATGCCAGAACATGGCAATTTTATTGAAAGTTGAAACTGAGGCTGTCGATCATGAGAAAGTACCTAATATAAAATGAATATATAATGTACCTTAGGAAAAATTATGGCAAATCCTGAAATTACTCTTTCTTTTAAGTATTACTTTAAAAATATTCAGCACTTTTTAAGCAAAAATACACAGAAGAAATCAACTTATAACATTACAGATATTTTCATCTTTTATTTAAATATACAATACCATGAACAATATTTATTATTTAACACATTACTGACCCTTTCTTCCTCACCCAAATTGCCAAGCATTTGCTGATTAGGCATTTAGTAGAACAGCTGAATCTGCTAATCGCGTTAATAAGAACATTGTTCAAAGTGCACCACAGAGGTAACATACGACTACTGCACTTAAGGATTGGCAGAGACAACCACTAGTCATACGACAGTCATGAATGCTTTCTTCAATATTAGTACAGTAGCCAGACCACCATACAGAAGAGAAAAACTATTAACCCCTTCTAACATTTCACTGATGCATTAATAAATAATGAAATGCAATGTGTCGTTTCTGGTATAAATTAATTCCTAGTACAAATTTAGCTTTGCAGAATGGCCAGTAAAGTGTTACGGATTTATTTTTAAAAAATTTACAAATACAAAACGAGAAATTTACCAAGTATTTTTGTTTGGCCCTGTTATTACAACTAAAACTGCTTTAACAGTATACAAATATATGAAAAAATTTATATCTGAAAGAAAAACAGACAATTATATAATAATATGCATATTAAAATCTATATTTTTAATATTTACTTATCTCAAATGATATTCATTTTAAAGTTAAAGAAAACATGCTGTGTATTATAACCTTTATAAGCAATTGTTATTACAATTATTCAAAACACACGCAGCAAATAGAAGCACAACATAAAATATAGTTTCCACAACATATATAAACACAGAGCTGTATAAATATTAACTACATATATACTTTATTAAGCTAAAATAGGACAGATAAAGGACAACTTTTAATAAAAAAAAATACTGACTTTTTTTTTTTTTTTTTTTTAATGGCAAAATAGTGCCATGTAACTTCTACTCTATGTTCTAATACCTACAGAGAAACCCACTCTTTCAATAACAGCTTCTAGACTTAGCTCCAAAGCCTGACTTTTAATTGCGTTTATTTTTTAATTGTGTGGCATTTTGTGTGAATTATATGGGAATCCCTGTCAGGGAAAGTTCATAAAATCCTAAAATAATAATTAAATACGATTCTGTAAAAATTACATTATGCTATATCATTAACTCTTAAGTCCATTTTGCTACTGTAAAAGTTATGCTATCCCAGATCATCCCACTTTTAAGTTAATTTTCCTATTCTTCACCCCCTCTTCCTCTGAAGTGTATCATTCGAAAATTAATCTCCATCATAATAATGTTAATATCATAGGTGACGATGCCTCATGTAGTTATATTATTTACAAATTTTTAGTATAAAACTTAAATTCTACAGTATCTAAACCAAAACTTTGAAATAAGATGTAAGGTAACAATAATAAGATGATACTACGTCCAACTGGCTGAGAATTAAAGTAACTTCAGCATTTTTAATCTATTTTTTATGATTGTCTCTAAATAACCTAGTTCATACTGAATTTATTTTAATATAGAGAGAACTGAGAACTTATGTGTGTTTGCCTCTTAAAACAGTTATAATGCTAAGTGCAGATATACATAGTGGACAAATATAGATCCCAGTTTGCACTTTCTCTTCTGAACTACAATTTCTTTAATTATCTTTATGTTAATTTGTATCACTGAAAAATGTTAGCCTTTTGCTCTTTTTAAATGATGATATTCCAGAATGAAAATATTCTCTAAAAATTTATCTGATCCAACATCATTTAGATGTGGTAGACAGAGCTTAAATTGTGCCAGAGCCTAGTTCTGGTACTTCTCAGTTTTTCAACATTTATTATAATTTCAGCCACAGCACAACAGAGCCAAAAATAAAAGGGCTTTGGCACTTCTTTTATATAATTACAATTTTAGCAGATAAATTTTGTTTTAATAGTAAAACATGCCTTAAAATCAATTCTAACTTCAGAATGCAGGCCTGTCTTTCCCTTGCACTCAAGACTTGCACAGGTTGAGACTTTTAAGAAAAGAAAAGCCCTAATCAAATGTCAAAGGCTTATTCTTCTAGATGTGCAATGAATTCATGACAGTGGGCATATTTTGCATTCCTCAAAGTACTAAAAGTGATATCGGACAACTGCTGCCAATTGTACAGAGAAGTCTTGTGCTTATTCTCACGTTGCTACCAAATTGTATTAAGGGAAAATATCTGCTTCATAGCTAGAATTATATCGACAGGGCATCGACAGCAGAAAGCCCTGAACTCTTCCTTTTTTATTTTCAAAGCTACACTTTTCTGCTAAAATTTCCTTCCATATCTTCATACTGTTTCTAAGATTCTCACTATTCTCCTTGGTGAAGATTTAATTTTTTTTTCCCCCTTGATATGCTAAAAAAAAAAAAAAAAAAAAAAAAAAAAAAAAGTGTACCTATCATCCCTTGGAATAGTACATTATACGTATAACCAGGGCTTAAACTCAGATGAAGATCGGCGGAGTTGCTTCTTACCTTCTAAGTGGAATCATAATTCCAGCCGATGCCCCAAAGAAGACAAGGCATTTCTCTTAATTAAAATTTAATTATTTTAATTTTTAGCTATTTTATTTATTTATTTTTTTCTTTCATTCCTCACAGTCTTCCATAGGGCTCCGGCACTTCTAATTTTAGAAATTAAGCCCTGGTGGAAGATATGTCCAAGGTTCAACAAAATACAAATATGCTGCTTTTAATTTTAAATAATATATCTAGATCTGAACACAATGATAACATTACACTATTTTTTCAGAAAATACTTCGATTTTGATTGCACAATTATTTTATCAATAAGTACCAACTGCAATAAAAAAAAGATGAGGTGAAAATCATCCTGAAAAATCCTACATGAGGTGAAGATCTTGAAAAATCATCAATACTGTGAAAATTAATAAACATCTTTAAAAACGTTTCTTCACTAGACCTTCATCCTCCAGCATTTTGCTCACATAAGGTCTCTAAGAACGTCCTTTACTGGCATGCTGTGTTTTCAAGAATGGAAAAACATTTATTCTAGAAGCTGATACTGATTGATCCAAGAAATTGGTTGAACCTATGCCAACATAAACTAAAAGGGAAAGCACTAAGGATACATTTTAATAATAAATAAAGATAGATTCAGATAAATAATTAAAAAATACTATAAAAGGAAAATGAAATAGCATGAGAAAAAAAAAAGTTCATTTAATCTGAAAAAGTAACAAGATGAAAGATTCAGGTGTTTTAAAAATTACCACACAGTCATGATTAGAAAGTTGCCCATAAATCAAAAGAGCTTACTTTTGAGAAAAGCTAGTTTTAACAACAGAAGTATATTCCTATGAACTTTGCTCAATGGAAATAACAGGACGCTTTATAGCTTATGGCCACATATGTTATGATTAATAGAGATGGAAATTATTTTTTTTAAATATTGTTCTTTAATGTAATAAACATGCATTAATAAATAAAAAATATATTTCTTCATTATGAATATTTCATCCTCCACTTAAATTTTGCTTTAAAAAAAAAGCAAGGAGTTGAATACGTCAGAAGTTTTAATTTGATTTCAAAATTTCTCACTGATTGATGATTTTGTGGCCAATGTACTTTTTACTGTGAGGCACAGTTAGAGATACATCAGTTCTGACTTTCTGATACTTTCTTATTACAGAGGCCCTCAAGACTGAATTGCTGATCAACCGAGATATCTTGCTGAAATCTCACCACGTGTTCTTATAACTCGCTACGTGTTGCATCTTGGTTAATTAGTAATTAAATTCTGGGGGCTGCTATAATAAAGAAGTACTATTTTTTTAATTATTAAAAAATGAGAAAATGAATAAGCAATTTTGTTCAATATTTATTTTGCAAAAATATTTATTTTTGAATCTCTCGTTTAAAAGATGAAAAAATGAAATTTAAAAAGCTTTCTATAACTAATTGCTACAAACTAGTTTCATCATTCTGAATACAGATTAAATATCTCATGATTTTAATAAAGCAGTAGCAGTATATGTTTAAAATGAGATGCAATGTAAAACTGGACATGTAAAATAAATCAAATCACTACTACTATATACAACTACTGCATATTTTGAAAATTTTTTATACAGTTTTATGACTTTTTTGCTTTTATATTTTTTATAAACACTTCAATACATATTTATTGAGAAAACATTCAACATATCTTATGTATGGCAGTATTACAATATTCAGCGACATACAATGTGAAAATTAAAACATAGCATGCTGCAAAATGACATGATTTTTTAAATATTAAAATAAAAGTTAATTACTTTTATAGATAAATTTTTTACAATTTATAAACTAGTCTTCAAATATGGAATAAGATTCAAACAATTTTTATAGAAGTTCATAATCAAAAGGAAATTTTAAAGCTTTTGAAAATCCTGATATTTTTAATACTGACAACAATAATTTTAATGCCAACTCCCTGAAAATGAAGGTATTTATTAAATGCATCAATGGTTTCTAAATACTGAAAATAATGAAATCATTAAGCAAGAATAGGAAGTTATACTTTCAATCAATGAAAAATTACATTAGAAAATAAAATCACATTAAAAAAACACTTTAAATATGTCATAATTTACATACCAAACTGTTTGTTCAATTATTTCATTTATACACAACCAACTACTTTTTGAAATTTTTTAGAGCTTTCATTAAATGATTCAACCTAAAAAAAAATATTAATATATGACTGTAATGTGAAAGCAATAAAAATTACATAAGTAAATAAAATATTCGGTTTCATTTTTTTACTACATGAAATAAGCATTTTCACACTATCCTGAATAAAACTGCTTATACATAAAACAGAGCTTGCTGCAAAATTAAAACTATCATACAAACTTGGCATTAAAGAGTCCAGATTAAGTTTTAACATAAAAGCGCCTTAGATTTAAAGCATCATATATAACAGCAGATAATTTTTCTTAAGTCCAACTAAGAACAAATACAAGCAATAACATTACAAAAAGGTATCGATATGCGAGAAAGATCAGCATACTTACAGTATGCTATAACTGCAGTAACAGAATTGTAAAACGTTCTAAATGTATAAGCATTCAGAATTATACAAATGTTATAACAACATTATGCGAAAAATACCATTTTAAAAGAAAGACTAAAAATTTCTTAGCAAAAATAATGTAATAAATAAAAATTACTTTCCTCGTAGAACGCTTCCTTAATTATAATTTAGAATAATACAAATGTTAACTTTTTAATGAAAACGTTTCAAGTGCTGATATAAATATGTATACAATAATCATCACATTATTAATATTCAAAATATCAAGAGACTGATACAGGTTGTGAGCGTCTTTTCCGCATATTTTGTATCACTTGGTGAAAAGAAATGATGAAAGCTAGATTCCGATAATTACGCATACACTGGTTTGAAGAAGGTAAAACAAAATCCGAAGTACATAAATCAACATTTAATCAGACAACAAAAACTCGACAGTAAGCAACCTAAATTTTCACCTAATGCGTTCTACGGGATGTTGACGTTCACACATCTGTGTATATACAAAAACTACCAAAACAAAAGTAAAACAAAGACAAAGAAAGGGAATTTAACATAAAATTACAGACAGAAAGACTTACACTCATATGAATCTTCAAATCAAATTGATTATCAACATGAAAAGAATATCAAAACAGTTAAACAAAAAATATTGAGGATACGAAAATATATAAAGCGATATTTATAAATTCGTTGCTCTGTTGCTGTCCGAACCTCGAGCTAGCCTTGCTTGTAAACTGCGTTTGACGTCACACAAAAATATTGCAAGGATTCATGGGTAGCGAAACAGCTGACGAGTAGCAATGTAACGGTGTAGGGTTTTTAAAGCACTTTAAGTATCTGAACAGCCGGATGGAGTTGGAAAGGCTCGATAGAGATGCAAGCGGCAGCAATGGAAAGGGAAGAAGTGAAGCGATCAATTTTTGATTTCGCGAGTGTTTAGAAATAATTATTTTCATCAAAACAAGAACTGAAGCTATCAATTTTTGATCTCGCGAGTGTTTAGAAATAATTATTTTCATCAAAACAAAAACTTATGCGATTAGAACTAAACAGAAATTAATTCTATTTTTATATATCAGTAGTTTTGTGCTCCCATTGCCTTTCCCTTCGATAAACAGGTAGATAATTTACTAAAACTAGAAGGTTGCCTACTGTAAGAAAAACACTTTCTCGAATGTCTTTTAAAGAATACTGGCTCATGTTCGAGAAATTAATGAAGAAAACCATAGAAGTGTACACTTAACAACATATTCGATCAGAAATTGAACTCGATATGAAATGCTGATGTTGAAAGTTTTAAGCTCTCATAATCTGTTTTAAAGCATGGCTTGTTCTTTTTATATTACGTATTGCATGGAAAATTTTAAGTATTAAAAAAAATCTAAAAGCTTTTAGATTTTACATTACACCTAAAAGGCAATTTTTTTAGCGTTTTCTGGGTTACTTTTATTTATTAAATATCATGTTCTTCGCACTTAAACCATAAAATTCAGTTCAACCACTGTTTTATTTCGAATATACGAATTTTCACAACATTTTTGTTTTTATTATTTTGTTTCAATTTCTGTAATTTTTGTTTATTTTACTTTTTAACTACTTTAGAAATTTCTGTACAGAGATACAAAGACCATGCAAGTAAAAATCATGTAACTTATTCACTTAATCGTAATAAATTATTAATAAGCTATTTCAAAACATAAAAATTTCTCTAAAATTTCTTTTTCCTTCTTCCTGTAACTAAAAATTTGTGAAAAATAGACATTCAGAATAGTAGTGCGTAGTAAAAGACAGCGCATATTAATCTTTCAAAAAATTTTAAATTCTGAAAACTTTTTTTGAATTAAAAAAAAATGTGTTGGAAGTGTACGCAAATAGGAAGGACTAATGTGATAAATCAAAAACCTGTTTTTTTTTTTAATATATTCATAAAAGTTTTTGTAGTTAAAGCAATTTTTAGCCCAGAAGGTCTATTAATTTCGTTTTGACATTCTGCGTTGAAAACTAAAAATGTCGGTTCACTTTTCAAACTGTTGCCACCAAATATTACAGCTCTGTATTATATTTAAAGAAATTAAATAATGAAGAATCTGCATAAATGTATGTAAGCTTCTCGCATTGTGATAAAACGACGGTACTTAGAGCCATCCAATTTTGAGTAAGGTACGTTTCCACCCGAAACTGTGTATCAGAAATTCCAAAGATATACTCATTTTAAATTTATTTTGCGATACTGTGGTTGAACTGAATTTTATGGTTTAAGTGCGAAGAACATGATATTTAATAAATAAAAGTAACCCAGAAAACGCTAAAAAAATTGCCTTTTAGGTGTAATGTAAAATCTAAAAGCTTTTAGATTTTTTTTAATACTTAAAATTTTCCATGCAATACGTAATATAAAAAGAACAAGCCATGCTTTAAATTTGAAAACTAAGACTATATAAACATGAGCAGTGTCAGTAGTTATGTCAACGAGAAAATTTTTAAAATGTTCCCTCCTTTCCGCATGCCTTCGCGGTGGTAACTGGAGGCATGCTCGACGCTAGTAGGAAGTCCGCAGTTCGAATCCCCGCCAGGGCAGTGAATAATTTTCACATTTCCTGCATCGATATAACTTAATGACTCATTATCCCCATTTTCCCATCTTCATAACATAATATTTTTCAGTAAATATAGCTCATCTTTCATTTTATATTTTACAACGAGTACATACAAGTCTTGTCAAACACAAGATCATTTCTTAAAAGCAAAACAGAAAAAGAATTAAAAATAAATAAATAAAAAGAAAATTCTGAAAGGTTTCAGATTTTGAATTAAGTCCAGAGGGATTTTTTTTTTTTTTTTTTTTTTTTTTTTTTTTTTTTTTTATTTTGTGCGTTACCTTTATTTATTAAATCTCATGTTCTTCGCACTTAAACCATAAAATTCAGTTCAACAGCAATATCGCAAAATAATTCTTAAGTGAGCCTATCTTTAGAATTTCCGATCACATTCTCGCTGGCTGGAGATAAAAATGTTTTTTCTGTACAACGTTGCCATGGCTCGCTTTGAAATTCTTGAGTTAGTTAATCAAAAATTCGTTAAAGTTTTACAAAATAGGAAATAGATAATAAAACCAATTCTAAATTTCAAAATTGGGCTTCCAGATGCCCATATTCGCAGTAGGATTACGTCATTCAAAACTGGATGGCTCTAGGTACCGTTGTTTCATCACAATGCGAGAAACGTACATACATTTATGCAGATTCTTCATTATTTAATTTTTTCAAATGCTATATAGAGCAATAATATTTAGTGGCAACAGTTTGAAAAGTGAAACGGACATTCAAGGTGATTCGACGCAAAATCCCAAAACGAAAACAATAGTCCCTCAGGGACAAAGCCCCTTTGGACCTCTGTCGATTTTATAAGTAAATAAAGAGTGATGTGTGGTTATCTAAGTAAAGAGCCATGTGGTTCTTTCAAAATTCTGCTGGAATAATTTGTACAAGTTTTGCATGATGTTCTCAACTTTCAAGGTCGACGGGAAAATACGTAGGTACTCAAAAGTATTCAGGCATCAAAGCTCTTATTTCCCACTTGCTTCTCAATGGATCCTTATTTTCCTTTGGTAATGCTCCCCCGCTTCTCAATATCCACCGGTGAACAGTAATGCCCACGTTGGGATAATAATGATAATACATAATAATAATACATATATTTAATTTTTTTAAATAAAATTTCCCTTTTAAAATATATCATCAACTAGAAAAACAGTATTAGAGTGATAAGATTATAAATGTGGTCATGCAGAAAAAAATGGATCTTCCAATAGGTGACTAGGTAAACTAATTGACTTAATACATCATATTTATTTGCATCTTTGATTTAATGTTAATTTAAATTAATACCATACTATGTGCTCGAGTATAAATCGGTCTATAAATCCTAAAAATGGATCATAAAATCAGGCCTGAATTTATACATGTGTTCAAAAATGCGACTTTTTTTTTTTTTTTTTTTTTTAGTCCAAAGGGATTTGAATCCCGAAGGACTATTAGTTTCGTTTTGGCATTTTGCGTCGGACGGATAAATGTCGGTTCACTTTTCAAACTGTTGCCATAAAATGTTAGAGTCCTGCATTATATTGAAGAAATAAATAATGAAAATCTGCGTAAATGTATGTATATTTCTCACCATTGTCATAAAAACGGTACATAGAGTCATCGATTTTGAATACGTAATCCTCCAACGAATATGAGCATGTGGAAGAACCCCAATTTGAAATTTGAAATTGTTTTATGATCGATTTCCTATTTTTTAAAACTTTGACGAATTTTTGATTAACAAACTCAAGGATTTCAAAGCGAGCAATGGCTACGTTGTGCAGAAAAAACATTTTTATCTCCAGCGCGTGAGTCTCTGTATCGGAAATTCTAAAGATATGCTCGTTTTTTAAAACTATTTGCGATATTGCTGTTGCACTGGATCTTATGGTTTAAGTGCGAGGAACATGATATTTAATAAAAAAGGTAACACACAAATGTTAAAAAAACGCCCCTTTGAACGTAATTTAAAATCTGAAACATTTCAGATTTTTTTTTTTTTTTTTTTTTTTAATGATTTTAAACTTTAGTACCTTATTAATGTAGGTAATTCTTATTCTAATTACTGTAATTTTATAAAAACAAAATGTTAGATTAAAGCGAATGATATATTTATCATATTTATGTTTTAAAAAATTATGAAATAACAACAAAAACAAAAGGGAAAAAAAACTTACGAAATATAAACTAAAAACTTACAAAATATAACCTTAAAAAAAAAAAAAAAAAAAAAAAAAAAATCTGTTCGCTCCCTTGCTCCCTAATCGAATGGTTAGCGTGATATCCCGCTAATCACCATTAATTTTTCAAGTCACTGTTAACGTTTAATATTACTTCAAAGTCTTTCTTTCTTCTCCTTAACCCTCTCAGCGTACGGCCGGAAAATTCCGCATAGAAGGCTGCCTTCTATATTCATTATACATGAAAATTTCTGCTAGTTTTTAATGTATCTGATTTCGGTTTGGATGTATATTGAAAGAAAGGAATCAAGGTACAAAATGAGAGAGTCATTCCTTAATAAAAATCAAGAAAATACCACTTATTCATGACATTTTGAGGAACTTTGAAATTTCAGGGCTAAACCCTTAACGCTCAGAGGGTTAAACCTGCTGAAGTCATATTGACTTCCTCTTTAATTATTTTTCTTATAAGGTAGTTTCTCACTCCTTTCTGCATGTTTTCGTGGTGTAACGATAGCACACTCGGCGCGTATTCGAAAGGTCCGGCGAGAGCATTGCCTATTTTTCACGTCTCGCTCATCCAAAAAACCCTAATTATTCTAAAGTGGTGCCCGAACTAAAAAGGGTGGTGAATGATGATTCTTCAGCATCAAGATTTGATGACTGGTTCCCCGTCGCCCTTTAATAAAATTAGTATTACTCTTAGAAATTTAATAACAAAAATACGCTAGTATAATTTTAATTTGATTTAACACTTAACTATTGGCGATAGATAAGCAACTGCAATACACAAATATGTATCCTGAAGCTAATTAGTTGTCTCTCCGCTGTTATTTCAGCAAAATATTCCAAGTCCATCATCCGTGTCAGATTTTAGATTCTTTTGCTTGATGACACGTGTTATCATAACCTGGGAATCATGAAAACAACGCAGTGTAGCTCTATCTTCAACGGAGGCGGAATATGTTAAATTTTCTCATGATTTTTATGT